ACATAGTGAGACCCTGTTTCAAAACAGACAAAAACCACAGCCCATAATTAACCCATACCTTCTGGGCCAAAAGGTTTGAAGTACAAACATCTGAGTTCAATTTGTACCACACAAAGAATCAAATATACACACAGTGTATTTTATTTCAGAGCTCTGGAACAAAAAACCAGGCATACTAATCTTGAGAGGAAAAGAAAATAAACACACAAACACACAGAAAGAGATACAGATATACTTGGTTTAGAGAAACCCTAAAATGGGATATTATAGGTTTACAGAACAAATCTATTTGGGAAGATTAACTTTACCTACCTTTTAGAAGATTCACTCTATATTTGGTGATAAATTGATAGCCCAATGCAAAGAAATCAAGTTTGTAGAATTCTACAGAAAGACTTACTGTGAGTGTGATCTTAGTTATAAATATGCCTTTCCCCCAAATAACAGAATCATTAATTCGGTCATTCTCCTATTTCTTGCATCTTGTCATTAAAACACTTTCTCTGTTGCTACACATGTTATATTTGATATTTTAAGGTACAGTATATGACTTTGAGTGCTGTAGAGAAAATATGTGTTTAAAGTTCTTGCCACATTAATAAATACACTAAGTTAGCTGTCTGATGTAATCGTTAGCTATTTTGAACATTGTCTGATTTTTACATTATACCAATTTTTACAAATAATTACACATTTGAAAATAAAGGTATAGTTAGTTTAAAACTTTTTTTTGTTGTTTTTGAAGGAGGGATTTGTATTATTTTTTTTCCCCCCATTAAGTTTATTGGTACATTTTAGGTATAAAATACAGTTACATTCATCATTGGGATCTTGTACCATTACATGAGTATCTTGGTTAGTTTAAAACTTTAAAAAGAACAACTCATACTTGTGGTTCATTGGGATTGAAAGTTTAGGGACTTGTGAGTTATTTTGGGTTAGAAAAGAGAATTTATGTGCTGTCAGCATTTCAGCACAGCAGCTCCTCCACTAGTGGCATCCTTGTGGACTGCAATGGGATATCTTCCAGTTGAAAACTGATATTTGATGATTCAAGAATAGATTTCTTGTAAGCAAAACAAAACAAGATGTTCTGTTTGTGGCCTTTGACATACTCTTCCTTCTATATGGTTTCCATGTTGTTTGTGCGGTTTCACTTTTTTTCCAGGTCTCTGTTGAAATGTTTACCTAAAAAAGGTGGCTCTCCCTGACAATTTTCCTAAAAGAGCTCTCCCATTCAATCATCCCTTTTCCTTTAGTTCCTCTTTATCTTCTTCAGAGTGTATACAACCACCTGATATATTGCATATCACATATTTGTCTGTCACACCTGGTGGATGTAAGCCGCGCAGGGAAGGGAGTTTGTGGCTGTGCTTGTAGACTGTAGAACTGTAGGTTCCCTGGAAACAGCTGTTGAGTAATGTAAGAATGGGGTTCCTTTAAAACTGACTTTTGACTTACCTTAAGATTTTCAGTATTATCTTTATCAATAGCTTTCTAATTTTATGATAATTATTTTGAGTATTAATCTTTTCTTTCATGGGTAATTTTATTCTGAAATTAATAGTAGTGTACTTATGAATGGAAGAGAAAAGTTTCAGGCAGGGATAATTAGAGTGAATCCAAACGTCACTTTGGTTTTGGAATGTATATGCGATATTTTGGAGAGGAGATGGTGAAGACCTCCAGTCTGTTTTTTATTCCTTCATTTTCCTTCATTATATTTTCCTTGGGCGACACATTAACATTTGTGTTCATTTTCTGAGCTGACCAGAGAGAGAAAATTTGTGCAAATTAAATTTCTGGAAAATTTTTATTTTTTGTCATTGGTGGGTCTTTAGCAACCTTCTAAAGTATTAAGGAACACCTCAGGCCTGTAGATTGCAGAAGGCTTCATAGGAGTCAGATGATGATTTGTGTCCCGTGTTGTTGACAAGTGAGATTCCTAATATTTTTAGCATACTGATTGATTCAGTTTCAGTTGTTTAAAAAGCAGATTTCTTGGAAAATATTGCAGCTTTTAACTTACTCTTTAAAGTCTATGTAAAAAATAAACATAGGCCCTCAGAAAAATGCATTTTCATGTACACGTGTGTATTTAGGTAGGAGCTGAAAAAAGCAATGGAAATGAGTTGGTAGAGCAGTTATTACATATGGATCATGGTCTCTGTTAGAAGAGATCACTTATGAGCACTTTTCTTATTCTTCTTTTTCATTTGCTTTTCTAGTGGCCATATGTATCCACTATTTGAGTGACTATTAATATACAACTTTTTTTTTTTTTTGGCATTGCTGAGGATTGAACCCCATGCTAGGCAAGTGTTCTATAACTGAATCATATCCTTAACCTCATATATAGCATCTTACATTCAACTTAAAGTAGATCTTTCACAGGATAAAACAACAACAAAACTTATGGAAGGTAATTTTATGACATGAGTTCAACTACTTAGAAATGTATTGCCCTTTTCCACTTCTACAGTTAAATCTCAGCACCATTATTGATATTCTCCCTTGGCTATTGGCCTGATTATTTTTTAAAGGATTTTGCAATTTTATTTTTGAGACAGGGTTTTACAATGTAGTTCAGGCTGGCCTTGAACTCACTGTGTAGCCCAGGCTGGCCTCGAACTCATGGTGACACTCCTGCCTCAGCCTCCTGATTGCTACGAATATAGGCATGCACTACCATAACCAGCTCAATTTGGAATTTTATTAATACTGTGATTTTTTTTATAGTCTTTTCTGTTATTTTTAGTTTTCTCTGGTGACTTTTCTCTTTTAAGATTTTTCCTTTTTCCTTCCACATTTTCAGTTGGTTTCTATTTTCCCTTTATCTCAGTTGAATCTTTAAAACGCTTTATAATTTTGGCAATTATGTATTCATTTTCTTTTTAAAAAATATTTTATTCTTTTATTGGTACATTTTAGGTATATAGTATGTTTACATTTATCATTGGGTGCTTGTACCTGTACATGATGTATCTTGGTTCTTATTTTTTTCCCCATTACCTGTATGGCCTTCACCTCCTCCACCCTTCCCTATTTACATAGATTTCGTTTCCCTTTTTTTTGGTACTGGGGATCGAACTTGAGTCCTTGAGGTTGCACAGCAGGTGGCGAAACCACTGAGCTAAATCCTGGGCCCAAGTTTCCATTTTTTGTCTTGTCTCGTAATTTTTCCTTTCCCTTCTTTCCTTTCCCCTTCCCCTCCCACCACCCTATTTATTCATTTTCAAGAGACACTATTGTAGAATGGTTTTGGAACCAGACTGTCTGAATCCCAGAATATCATTTACTACTGATATGACTTTGGCAAACTATTAACTCTCTATCAAATGTGGATAATAGTGTCTACCTCTTAGGTTCTTGAGTTACGAATATGAAATGATTTAATACATGTGAAGTTTCTAGAATAGTGTCAGGCACATAGTAAGCCGTAAATATTAGCTATTGTCATTCTTTTCTGCAACAAGAGATTAGTTTTGTGTCTTATGTAGCATCATCATACTTTTTTTCATAATGGTTTAGCATTTTCAGTGAGCTGAAGGTCAAGCTACTTGAATTAATTATGGTATATTCATATAATAAATTCTTATGAAGTCATTAACAGGATGAGATAAATCTACATATAGTGACCAGAAATGCTACTAATGATATTTTTAGAGAGTAATTTGAAGTTCCATATGCATATCACAGCTTAATGCTTGCAAACTACCTATGTTAGGATAGGTCTTTATAAACAAGAGAATTATTGGAAAATGTGTGTGCCTTGGATGAATGGGTGGAGAGGAGACTTGAATTCTTGAGTTTCCTACTCTTTATGATTTTTAAAGTGTGAGATTTGGGCCGGGGATTTAGCTCAGTGGTTTCGCCGTCTGCTGTGCAAGTGCAAGGACCTGAGTTTGATCCCTGGTACCAAAAAAACCCCAAAAACCAAAATAAAGTGTGAGATTATTAAAACCTTGAAACAAAACTTTTTTTTGCTTGTGTTAAGTAATTTTCTTTTCTGCTTGTGTTGAGTAGTTTTTTGCTTGTGTTGAATTCTAATGAAAGTTTATATACTACTTCTTGTAGGAGTTTTAAGCCAGATTTTTAAGACTTATTTGTCCAGTGAGTCAAGAGACCAATTGTTATTACCTTCAATTATTTCTTTGTGTGGGTCGATTAGAAGTAAATTTGTTGGCCACAAAAATGCCCACTCATACACACCTATATTCAGGTATATGTACGCCGCCTTAAAATGCTTGAGTTACTCTGGAAAATGACAGAAATTCTCAGAGGGCAAAAGTGAAAAATAAGGCAAAAGGAAAAAGGAGAAATACTTGTACATAAGCCTGTACAGTACTTTGCTCACATTTGCCAAATAGTTGCAAAACAACTAATAATGTAATTATTAAAATTTGAGTACTCACTGTGTTACTATTCTATGCGTACTTTATGCATGTAAATGTCCAGCTTGTGTGTGCAACAGTATATAACAGTGTATGTACTTTCATTTGTGATTGAGGGTATACAACTCTTGATTTGTCAATCTACCATAACAGAGAAAACAACCTTGAACTGTTCTGTAACTACTTTTATTCCTGAATCCCCGCAGTCCTGAGGATCAAACCTAAAGAGACACAAGCTAGGCTAGTACTCTGCCACTGAGCCATACCCCCAGCCCTTAACTACTTTTAAAGATTTTTTTTTTCATTTCTGATTCTTAATTCCCTCAAAAAGTTGTATTTGCTGCAATAAAACCAAGAACCCTGATCTGCATATCTTTGTGGTTAGTTGGTATAAAGCCAGTATTTAAATTTCTTTGAAGTCTCTTAGTGCTTAGTATCACAGGATGAAGAGCTCTTCAGAAGGGGGAATGTGTATGTGGTTTTTGGTCTTGTGCATTTCGTGACAAAGGAATTCCCCTTTGAATCGCGCTGTTCCCCTGAAGCCCCTGGAGCCTCTGGCTCAAGCAGCACAGTCAGTCTGTGCAGTGTCCCTGACGTCATCTAGCGTATGCATAAGCCCTGCTATTGTCTTACTGCTACAGCAGGGCTGAAGATTGCAGTATTCGCTGTTGCTGCTGCTCCCACTCCTGCCCCTGCTCCTACCTAGTCTTGCTTCACTGCATCCCAGAAGAGCCACGTTGGCCTTCCTTTGCCTAGTGGATTTTCAAAAGCAGCTGTTCAGTTTTGGGTGCTGTTGGAGACCTTGCTTTTCATTCACCGGGAGAAAACTGAAGCTCATGAGAAGAATCTGGCAGCTGGACACAGCTCGGACTGCATTGTCTGGTTTCATGACCCCTGCTGTGTAGTTCGCTCATCTCTTCACTCCCACGGGCACACTCTTTCCTTTTTCTTCCTTCCTTGTTTTTTTTCTTTCTTCTAAAAAATTTTGTTTTAAAACCAGCTTGTGGAGCCAGCCATGTTTGGCACTGAATCTTCATGTAAGTAAATGGATTGAACTCCTCTGCTGTTTAGAAGTCCGCTTGCTGTTACGGTTTCATTGGCTTGGAATTCTCATCACTGTGTCTTAGGTCACTAACAATATTAGTGTTTTGGGTCTAAATACAGGGAAATTGGTCTCACAGAAGGTACTCCCCTTCATGGGGTTATTCATTCTTAAGGCCAGAGATGGCAATGTGGTCAAAACCGGGCCTCCAGGAGGGAGGTAAGAAGAGATAGGATCCAGGCAGCTCCCGGAATGTGCTAATTGATGGGATAAGGCCTGTCACTGATCCATTGTTGTGGGCTCAGAATGGTTCTCATACCATAAAATAGGTGCTGGAAAGATCTGAGATGATAGTGTTTATTAAAAAAGGAAAGGCTTACATTTTTTATTTAAGGAGAGAAAAAGATACCATTATATACTCTTCATATTTTTATAAAAATAGATTAAATGTGTGTATTAAAAAGAAATAGCTTTATTTTTGAAGATTGATGTGTTTTCCACAGTGGCTCCAATTTTATTATGTTGATTAGCCTCACAGTCCAGCAGCAGCATCATATCTATCTTAAAACTTATACAATGAAATTGCTGTGGTGCAGAGCAGGCCTTGCACAATGGGCTGAGCTGGACAGCAATTGTAGATATCTGAAAACTGGTATTTAAAACAGGATAACTCACTTGCTTGATGATTATTTAATATTGGATACAGACTAATGTAACTTCTCAATGTAGTTGTATAGGCTTTGCAGAATATTTTGCCATTATCTATAAACAAAGGTGACAGTTGAGAATTTCTGAAGAGACTTAATCTGCTGGCCTAGAGCATTAAACAGCAACATCACATTTATGGAATCGATTACTTATGGACTTGTAATTTGCATTTCCTTTCTGATCTCAGGTGTCAGTGTGACTATGACTATTTGTGTAGCTGATGATTATTGCAAGTAGTATTTCAAGAGAGCTAATAATTCTCAGTTCTTTTGTGTCTTGATTGGCTTTTCTAAAGGGTTATTTTTGTTGTTTCATTATGGAAGCTTCCCATATCTGAAATTACCACACTGCTTAATCAAGTCCAAGACATAGTAATAGTGAGATGTAATATCTCATTCAGCATATGACAATACTATTTCCCTAATAATTTAAAAATAACTTTTGAATTCACTTGATGATACATTTGGAATTATTGTCATCCAAGAAATAGAAGTATATCAGTGAGTGGCAGATACCTCTTAGTTTCATTTCAGTCATGGAATTTTGTTTATGTAGGAACCTAGGTATGGACAGAATTATTTATACTGGATACTAAAGGAAAATTAGTCCTATTAGTTTGTTTAGCTGAAAATAGAAGTTGAAATTCAGTGAGTCTTCAGGTTTTGGGGACCAGGGATTCTACCCTTGTGTGGCCTGTTTTAATCAAGCAGACACACAGCCTTTCTTGATCATCAAACCTGATCTTTTGATAGCATCATTCATGTACTATGTCTGAAAAATGCTGGTTATTTTTTGTCTCCATAGCTACCAGATTACTGAACAGAACAAAATACCATTCAGAAGACAGAATACTATCACACAGATATTTAGTGCTTTTTGCTTTAACTGTGTATTAAGCTTTATTTCTTGCTTGTCATTAGAAGCTCAAAGATTCATTTTGTCAAGGGACATTAGAAGTTGAAATTGAATGCCTTCTTTAGATAAGAAGATATCTTAAGTCTGTACTCAGAGTTAGGACAAGTGTGTTTTCTTTGTGTTTTTCAGGCATAGCTTTCTAGACTTTTGATTTCTACCTTTTGGAGGTTATTTTATAGGCTTGAAATTATGTTTAGTACATACAGAAAAAGGTCACGTTTGAAATTCTAATTAGTTTGAAGGGGTCTCCTTATTACCTATGGTGTTTTTACTAAACTGTTTTAAGAAATACTTGTTTAATTATCTACTCTGTATGCAGTGCAGTAAGTAATGGAAAAGTTAATTTTTTTCCTAACTTATTCTGAGTATTTTGTGATTCTTATTCTTGATTTCTGATTATAGCGCCTATTTGTATTGGATGCTTTTTTTTTGGTACCGGCGATCGAACTCGGGTCCTTGTGCTTGCGCGGCAGGCGTCGAAACCACTGAGCTAAACCCCCGGCCTGAAGAACTCTTTTTTTTTTGGTACGGGGGATTGAACTCCAGTCCTTGTGCTTGCGAGGCAGGTGGCAGAACCACTGATCTAAATCCCTGGCCCAAACAAATTCTCCTTTTTTTTTTTGCACCGGGAATTGAACTCCGGTCCTTGCTCTTGTGAGGCAGGCAGCAGAACCACTGAGCTAAATCCCCGGCCCTGTATCGGATGCTTTTATTTTTAAATTGAGGTATGATTTATGTACACCAAAATATGTAATTCTAAGTGTGCAATTCAGTGCATTTTTGCCCATATTTATATCTAATATGGTATATGATATGGACCCACTATCCATATCAAAAAAGAATATTTACATTTCCCCAGGAAATTCTCTTGTGGCCCTTTCTGGTCAATATTCCTTCCCCTGTTTGCCAGAAGGAACTACTGTTTTGACTTTTGATGCTATAGATTTACTTTATAAGTGACCCTTTTTGATTTTCTTTTCTCCTTGCTCTCTGCCTACAAGAGAAGGAAATGTCTTCATTTTCAAATATTGTATTAAGTTGATTTCATGTTTTTGACCATCAAGTCAGAAATTTGCAGTAGACTGAGTATCATATTATAATATGCTTTGTCTCAGGGAAATAGTATTGCTTGACTTAAATACCACCCCTCAAAATCTTTTAAACGACAAAAAATTTGTATACCCTAGTTCATCAAAGTTAAAGTATTACACAGCTATGGTAACAGAATTTATGTCTGACATTATTTTAGTCACAATATTCAACAGTACCAGTTTTGTGTCTGTCATGTAATAGATCTGAATCTCCCATGGTTTTTAAGATCAGCCACAATTTATTTATTTTTATTTTTATTTTTTGGTACCAGAGATTGAACTCGGGACCTTGCAACCACAATTTATTTTGGGCCTCTTTGAATTGGAAATCTTATATAGTATTAGTAGACTAATCATTACAAAGTGGGAAATGTAGTTAAGTCTGAGGTGTTCTTTACCTCTGTTAACATTTTTATGTATTTCACCGAGCTTCAGTATTTTACTGAAATTTCTCATATGTAAAAATAAAAGTGGTGTGTCTGTCCTTTACTTTGAAGAAATGCAATTTTAGTTTCTAGAGTCAGAATAATTTAGGTATAAGAAAAAAGTACTATCAATAAAGTTTTATTGAAGAAAGTGTTCATTAAAACATATTGGGGTATTTGATTTAATGATAATTTATATTTAAAATAAATCAGTTCATTCCTGAGTATTAAAAAAATTCTTTCTAAAACAAATTTTATATTTTCTTTTGTGGAGTAAGAAAAGCTGGTTAAAGGAGAAAATATTCAGGTTTTTTTTTTGTTTGTGTGTTTGTTTTTGGGTTTTTTTTTTGGTACTGGTGATTGAACTCAGGACCTTGCCCTTGCAAGGCAGGCAACAGCACCACTGAGCTAAATCCTTGGCCTGAGAAAAAAATATTCATAGAGTAAGGAAAACTGGTTAGGGTTTCATCCTCCCTCATAAAGCTAGTTACTCTTCAAAGAATAGACACTTTAAATATGATGAACATTTACTGGGCTCAGTCCTCCTTTTTTCTCCTTTCTTATGTCTAATTTTTTTCATTTCTCAAGGTTTCTATTGAAGGGTACCATTTATGATGTGCTGTGCTGGGAACTGTGTCTGGTATAACATGTTAGTATGTCATCTGAAGACCTGGCTTTTTATCCCAGTAATACATTACCTGCAGAGAAACAGTGGATGCCTAGGGCAAACAGCATCATTTCTTCCTTCATCCCCAGATTTTGCTGTATTTATAATAAATAGAACATCTGAACATCTTTGAAGGAGGAAAGAAATCACTGAAGTACCAACAAAATGGTAGTAAGACCCACTCACCTGAGGTTTGTGGAGATGGGGAAATTACATATGAGCACGTTAGAAGATCTAGAATTCTCTTTAGCTTTGTTATGACTGGTCCACGCCTTTCCTTCCATTTTCTGGGTTCCTGTTTCACCTTGGATAGGTAGCCAAACCTTGAGGTGGATATGAGTATATGTTCCTAAGTAATTGGTCTGTGGTGGGCACTAGAAGTTCAACTGTTGGTTTTTATTTTCATTATTGGTAAGTGGATTAAGTTGGAACTGCAGCTTTTCAGTTCTTTACAACTTTAATTTGACTATTAGTATTTAGCAGTGTTGGATTTTAGATGCTTTCATTTGACTTAGGGCAAAAAAGACATTTAAGGGTGTATATAAAAACTCCTCTAAGCATGCACTTAGAGCATTGTACATAATAATTACATGTTTTTAGTTAAGTAGAATGCCACAAAATGTTAAAGTCACAAATAAGAAAAAGTAATTATGGATTGCAGGGATTTATGTTGGAACATGGTCATATTAGAGCTTGGGGAGTGGAAGCCTATAAGGTTTTTACTTGTCTTACTGTGTCATCCTTCTGACAACATAATTTTGACATTTCAATTTTTAGAATCAAGAGAATATTTTAAACTAAGGTAGAAAGTTTTTTTCTTCTGAATATTTGTATACTTATTCCACTAGTACAAAAATGGAATAAAAATATCAGTGATTTCTTGATCTCCCTAATTATTAGACTGTAGTTTGTTCAGCAAAAGCTACATGAATTTTCAGTGATTTGTTGTTTTCATTATCACAACAGACTAGATTCATATCCTGTATAAACTCTGTGATGGGGTCGGGGGGGGGGTCTATCAGTGAAAATTACCATATATGGAAACTCCTCATAGACTCTCCATGGAATTACACAGGATGTAAATAGGACTCATTGTTGTTATGAATTCTGAGCTAGAAAAGGCCCTGATCACGTGTGTATTTTTGAAACAATAGTAATCACTACATTAAGTATTGAAATACTGTTAAAC